ATTTCAGGGGAAAGACATCTTTGCAATCTCTCATCCTGTTTTCTAAGTATAGGCCCTTGTTTCCCCAGCTGAGGCATCAAAGGCTCAGAGCAGGGTCACCGGCTCCTGGCCTGTTAGGGAGTGTGCATCAGTTTTTTTTTTTTTAAAATCGGTTGCTCTGAACCCCACATCATGATAAAAGGCAGAATGACTCAGTGCGAAAAGTCAAACGGGCTGGGGTTTGAATCCTACTTCCAAACCTGCCCGCCAGGCACTTGCAGTTCTCTTAAGATGCCAAACAATCTCCAACGTCCAAGGCTTTTTTTTTTTGTTGTTGCTTGCTCTTTATGCTCTTTTTCCTTTTTCTTCCTTCTCTCCCTCCCCTCTGTTCCTTTCTTGCCACTAATGACTCCATGCATCTATTCATCCATCCATGCATCCTCCCTGCCCCCCAACCTTTCCCATTCCCCCAGCTTCTCATCCGCCATCTTCCCATTGCTCCATCCCTCCTCCCATCCTTCTGACAAATATCAACTGGGTGCAGCCTCTGGACTGGATACAGGAGTTGCATTGGTGAGCAAAGCCATGACCTCCTTCTTCTGAGGCAGCTGTCAGCATAGTGGAAGAGAGGGGTGTTAGTCAACTGTCACAGGTATCACAAGTATCACACAATTGTGACAAGACGTGCAGAGAAGTTCTAGACAGGGCTGTTATAGTGGTTAGACACCAGGAACAAAGGAACAAAGGAACTCAGTCCAGTCTCTGGGTTGGAGAACAAGCAAAAACGACCCAGCAAGTGCTCCAGGCAGAAGGAGCAGCATGTGCAAAGGCCCCGTGGTCCATTCCAGGAACGTTAGGAAGCTGGTGTTGCCAGTACAGGGGCCAGCTCCCACAGGAAAGGCTCATCTCTGCTGGCACTGACTCCTCCAGACCAGTTTCACATCTAATCTAAAAATTTTACTCTCATGTTCTTTTTTCAAAAGCTTGTAAATACCCATGTACTCTGGGAACCAGCTTTTCCCTCCTGTGGCTCCCTCACGAATGTGTTCTTTATGTGTGTGGGTCATATTTTATACCTGCCTGGAAATGACATGGTGACACCCCTCATCCTGGAGTACTCGTGCTGGGCTTGCCAGTTGCTCTGGCTCCCCAGCACCCTGTGCACTCACCAGGGTGGGGCCATCTTTTGTCAACATGGCGTCCTCAGACTTTTGCACAAGGCCAGGCTCACAGCAGGAGACTGGCAATTATTATCGCCTGAATGAGTGATTTTGAGCCTGTGTCTTCACTTCACTGAGTCGTATGTTCTTATCTGTGAAACGGACATCTCTACACCATCTCTGAAGGCATAAAGGGTGAAGGAAATAAGAACTCAAGTGCCTGAGGGCCTGCCTGACACATTCTGCCCGGCGTGTGCTGAGCTCTAGTGCCCCTGCTCCGAGGGATTGGTCTCAAAGGTAGGAGGTGAAATTCTGGTGCTGCGGAGCTGGTTGGGGGGTATGAGGTCACTGGTGGGGGAGGGTGGCTCACTGAGGGGTCAGAGCGGTCAAAGATGGTGTCACCTGGCATTTGGCAGGCTAGGAAGACCAGCCTGGCCAAAGCGTCCAGTCTGGGCTGTGAAGGAGGAGCAAATGTCTCTAAATAGGTCTGCGTGGGCATAGGCAGAGGGCCCTGAAACTAGGTCGGGGTGGTGGATTCTCCCAGTTTGGGAAGAGGGAGCCATCTCGGGTTAATGAGGGAGGTGGGGCATACCAGCCAGGAGAGGAGACACGCCATTTCTGAGTGCCTCTGAGCACCTGGCCATGGCATGTGGGTGCAAATGCATGTTTGGGTAGAATGTGAGCGTGTGTGAGAGTGAATGTGTGTGTGGGATAAGTGGGTGTGAATATGAATGTGATCGTGTGTGTGCAGGGATGGGTTTGCAAAGGTGTGAGTGTGGAGGCTGCACGTCTGTGTGAGTGTGTTGCAGTGTGAGTGTGGTGAGTGTGAATGGCTGTGTGTGGGAATATGTGTGTTGACTGCACTGCACTGTTGCAAAGGCCCTAGGTCGGTTCTCTATTTAAGCAGCTCTAGGACCCCTGAGTGCAGCCGCTGCTGGCCCGTTTCCCAGGTGACTGGGCTGAGGCTCACAGATGAAGGACAAGCCGAGTCACAGGGTGACGCTTCTATGCGCAGCTGCCTCGGGTTCGCGCGGGAGGAGGGAGGAGGCGTGCGGAGTAGGGTGGATGGAAGGGGGTCTCAACGGGTGCAATGACGCCAGGCACGTGGTTCATCCTCGTGGCCACCTTGGCCGGCGTGCCCAGATCTGTCCTTGTCGCTCGCTGTTTCTTGTGCTATTTGGGTCCCTGGGATGCTGGCTGGCAAATGAACTCAATGACACTGCTCAAGCCTCACTGGGCCAGACCCTGGCTGGACTTGGGGACCTTGACACCATCTTTAAGAAGCGGTCAATTGGAGCAGCATCAAAGTTTGGGGGTGGGGGTTGAGTTCCCAGGGAACAGGGCACTGGCCTTTTAAAAACTTTGAGGGAAAATTTACATATAGAGACGCAGACATGTTAGGTGCGTACTTGATGGATGTTTATGTCTGCAACCCCCACTTTGGAGACACAGAGCACCCCACTGCCCCAGAGGGCTCCCGCAGGATCCTGCCCATCTGCCTCCCCCCAAGAACATCAGGGGCACGTGTCTTTTTGGAAAACACTTTCAACTTCATAATTCTGTGTTCATGACTATGGTCATGCTTAAAGGACAGTGGGGGGACAGTGAAGACCCCAGTGGTGGCAGGCTGAGCCCTGGGAGGTGCTGGCAGGTGGCTCCAGTGATCAGGCAGGTAACCAGGACAGCCCTGACCTGACACTTTGTGGGTGAGACCACATGACGTTTCCTGGCTCCCAACAGAGTTAAGGGCACAGTCTCTGTCCCTCACTGTCTCTTCAGCAACCCCTATCCAGTGCCCACCCCCACACACGGGGACACCACTTCCCTGGACAAGGAGGCGTGGTCCCTCTGTGCTTCCATTTGTCTCGTAAGTGGGGACAATCACAGCACCTACCTTATAGGTTTGCTAAGAGGATGGAGTGAACAGATTAAGCAAGTTAATATTTGCACAGAGTCCAGACACATCTGTCTGACATGCAGTAAGTGCCTATATAAAAATTAAATAAAACCACCTCAGTCTGATGGGAACTAGGGCCGATGGGAATAGGCCAGAAGATGCAGGGGCTTTTACAGCCAAGCATTAGAATCTTGGGGAAGGGGCAGAGATTTTCCTGATCATCATATAAAATGGGTAGGGATGCAGGAGGTGAGGGCCCCTGGGTCCTCACGAGAGGGGGGCTATCATTCTCCTTTGCATGAGGAACCCACAGGGGGTGCCCGATGAATGCCAAATGGTTGACTGATTTCCTGGCCGCCAGGAAGAGGGTCACTCGGCTTCCATCAGCTTTCATTTTGCCTGCCAACCTGCAGCCCTGGGGACTTGGGCCATGGAGAAGCGAGGCCCAGGTGCTGCATAAAATACACGCCCCAGTCTCCTTGCCTGGACATGCCGTCCATCATCTCCCACCTTCCTGGAAAATGGGAGGCATTTTCCCCACCACTCGGCCTGAATTCATGCCTTGAACACCGCATCCCTGCAAGCGGCACATGCCGACTTCACAGTTTGGCCCCGAGGGGGGCCAGGCTGAGTCCTCCATCACAGCCAAGGGCCAGTAACCCCACGGGAGGCCCCTTGCTCCTCGCTCTGATCATGGGCACCAGGCCAAGGGCTCAGGGGTGACCCCGGAGGAACATGTGCATCTGAGTGTAAGTCCCAGGTCGACTAGAGGCTCATTGTGAGAGACTGGCAGGCCCCACACACCTCCTGAAACTCCACTTTCCTTTTTGGCAAAATGGGTGCAGCCACCACCATCCAACAGTGGTGAAAATGAAACGAGGCACCACTGTGTGTGTATGGGGGGAAGGGGCAGAGGTGACTAGACACCTTGAGTTCACATTGTGGTTCCACCATGGGATACTGGGAAAAAATGACTTAACTGCTCTATGCCTCAGTTTACCCACCTGTAACATAGTGATTACAAGAGCTCCTCTCTCATTTGGTGGCTGGGGGATTAAATGAGTTAATGCTGTAAACCATTTGGCCTACTCATCACCACTGCAGGCTATTATCACTGCTAATGATTTTGCATATTCAGTGTCAACACACGCTGTATCAATTATTAACTCCGTAGTTGGACACGGAAGTCAGGCAGCTAGAGTCTGAGTCTTAGCAAAAGAATGCAGTTGCAGTGTGATTCTGCATGTTACACTACCTCTCTGTGCCTTGCGAGGTCAGTAACCCTACCTATCTGGAGTTGGGAGGTTTAAAGGAGTTAACTCATGTAAAGTGCTGAACCACAGTAAGTAGTGTTGATACTATGTTAAAATCATTATATACTTAGCATCAACCATATTAATGTTCTAGTGGAGGGGAAGTAAGGAAACTAACATTTATTGAGCACCTACTACATACTAGCCCTTGATATAGTCATCGGAGAGGGTATTCTAGGGTAAACATTAGCGAGATTAGGGAGTGACCTACCTGTCCAAGACCTTATTGAGTCAACCAGACCCCATGTGTGAATTTTAAGGCAGGAAGAAGATCCAACACTCTGGAAGGCCTCTGAGTGCTGGTTACTCTTCAACCCCCACGGTAAACCCAGTGGAGTTTATTTTGTCCCCGTCATGCCGATGACAGGCCTGAGCCTCAGAGAGGTGTGTTATTTGAATGCCTGCTGCTTTGAAGTACCAGAGTGGATTCAGTCTGTTGTCTCCCGAATTCTGTGTATGCAGCAAACACAGCCTCACACTGACTCCCTCTGAGCCAGGGAGACAAGTCAGTGTGGACAACGCCCACAGGGAGGACCAAGACCTGCTGTTCTTGTTCCCGAGTCCTGGGGCCACACCTGCTGTGCTCCGGGCCCCTGGGGCTGGGAGACATACTCACAGAGACAAGGACACTCAACACCCAAAGGGGTCATTGTTACCCAGAAATCTTTATTACAAAAATATTTTGCAAGCCAAAAAGTTTAAGTTGCAACTATATACAAAATGGGGCCTGTTTCCTTCCCAGCAGTCTTAAAATAAACTCCCGAAACCACGCTCCGTCCACACTGTTGATTCGACCTCTTCCTTTTCCTGGGCTTCGATACACAAGGTATGGGAATCTCCAGGCTGCCAGGCTGGAGCTAAAGCTACAAGACTTCCTTGGAAACCTTTATTCCCCTTCCAAAATTCAAAATGAAATGAAATTAAAATGGCACCAAGAAAACATTCTTTTAAAATCCTATGTGTGTGCATGTATGTGTGCACGCACGTGTGTGCGAGTGCTCAAGCACGTGTGCTCTCTCTGGGCAGAAAAGAGGGAGATTCAAGTTTACAAGCCAACCCTTTGTAATTTGGAAACAGCCCAAGCCAGGTGGCTGGGCCACTGTGCTCCCAGATGCCACCGAGAAACTGGCTCATAGGGCCAGAGCACCCCACATGGCCTGTTGGCTCAGCAGATTCCTGGATGCCATCATGTCAAACACCAGATCACTGTCCCCTAGAGGGCTGGCCTGTGCTGAGCTCCTGAAGTTCACCTGTAGGACCTGCTGATGGGCAGGGAAGACTCAGCCCCTGCTCTGCCTGCCTGAGCCAGGAACCCCTCGGACATTAAATGGTCAAACCAGGGGTGTGAAGTTGAGCATCTCAACACTAAGTTTTGATGATCATACGTGAGGCCAATAAACAGGACTTGCAACGTCTGCTTGCCCCGGGCCCAGGCAGCCTCCAAACTGAGCTGGAAGGGAAAATTTGAGGGTCATAGGTCAGTACCTCTGCCCAGTCTCCTGAGCCAAGGGACAGGAGGCGGGTCAGTCCTGGCGTCGCTGCCGCCCTGTCCTCCCGGCTGTCTTGGATTTATTCCAGCTTGATCCTGACTGGGTTTGAGAGCAGAGGGGAGAAGATTCCCTCTGCAGGGATTAGTTCAGAGAACTGGGATGGGGAAAGGGATCGGGGAATAGCCAGGTGCAGCTTCTTGACCCTGCACAGCCCTAAAGTGCTGAGAGTGTGGGGGAACACCTTCTGCTCCCCTCCTTCCTGGCGCACAGACTGAGGCATCAGGTCTCAACAAGACTACTGGGGAGGAGCAGCCTGGAGCAGCACTGGGCAAGCCTGGACTTACCACACAGGGGTCACGGAAGGCAGTGCTCCCGGCCACGTGGCTCGACTGGGAACAAGGCCAACCGAGTCCTGAGAGAAGGCTGAGCCTTCTTCCACGAGAGGCTTCTTCCCATCCTTGGGCCTCTGGGACTTGGAGGAGCTCGGTTTCTGCTATGAGAAAACCCCTCCATGGCCACCGACTCTTAAACCTTAGACAGCACAAGACCCAACCATGGGTTTCAACACATGACAAAGAGCCGAGAGAACGTTGCTGCTGTTTTAAGAAAAAAACAAAACAAAACACCACAGATCAAATTTTCTAACACCTCAGTTTCAAGATTGCACGTTTCACATTTCTCAATAATTTACAGGCGTCCACAGCGGGATGTTGCTGAGTTAGTGCTAGCTGGAGGAAGCAAGCTCGGGTCTAGAGAGGAGGCGGGGCCCCATGGAATGTCACAGTTGGGATGACGGGTCCTCATGGAGCTCGGAGGGACACGAGGACGACGCGGGTCCATGGTGGTGGTGGTGGGGTTCCCCAAGGGTCCTCTCCTCCCCCGGGGCAGGGGGTTCTCAGTCCAGGGATGGGGAGGCCAGGACTGTTGGCAGCGACCACCCCAAGTCTCGGGATGCAGGTCCCAGAGTTTGTCCAGCTTCCCCGAGGAGAGGGCAGTTCGTTCTCAAGGGAAAACATTTTCCCAAAGCCCCATTGGGTGGTGGTGGGCGTGGGGGGAGGAGATGGGGTTTTCTCTCTCCTCACCCTGGAAGATCAGACTGCAGAGCATCAAGGAGGCAAGCAAGGGTCTCGAAGACCATGACGAAGACCCACGGTTGATGGAGAGAGGCATGAGAGTTCTTGGACCCCCAGTGGCAACTCTGGCCACTTCCCAGGTTCCCTGGCTGGTTTGGCAAAATCAGCCTCCCTGTCTAGCAACACCGGGGGTGTGGCTGCCCTGAAATGGTGGAAAGCCGAGGGTTGGGGAGACAAGAGCCACCCTCACCCTTGGGTTCCAGGGCCTGTGCCACCCCGACCCTCCAGGAGCTGGGCTGGCTGTTCTCATCACGGCTGCCCCGTGTGGGACAGGAAGGCTCACGGGAACAGACCCTAGAGCTGGCGCCGGTCCGTTTCACTTCCTCTGGACCTGAACACTGGCATACTCCGAGTAGGACGGCTCAGGCTTGGGAGCTGGCTGCTTGTGGCCCCGGTTGAGGTGGACCATGTCCAGGTCGGCATAGGTGAGTGTGTCCTCGGCTGCAGGCGGGGGGCCGGTCTGGATGCTGGCATACTCCGTGTGGTTGTTGGGGTCTGCAGCCAGGGGCGCAGATTTCTTCCCCTTGGGCAAGTTCAGGTCTGCATATGTGATGTCGTTGTTGATGTCGTTGGTTTCCTGGATCTAAATGAGATCGGTGGGGGGGGAGGGGGTCATTCTGGAGAGCCCAGCCACTCACCTACCCAGCGTGTCCTCCTCCGATGGATCTTCCTAAAGCCAGCGCGGCCACCTCACAGTCCTGGTTCAATGTCACCTCCTCCCGCGGTTCTGTCTGGCCTTCCCCCATGCTCTGCCCTCGGCCTAGACTGTCCGCCCCTCCTCCTTGCAATGAAACCCAATGTACCATGTAAATCTCAGCGCAAGCCTGGCTTCATCCTAAGACCTGCCCTCACGGTGCGGGGCTCCTGCTCTGTGCTTCCTCAGCCGTGTTTTCCACGAGAGCATCGGCCACTGAGGACCATGTCTGTTTTGGGACCTGAGTAAACGCTGATCCCCCAAAGGGTGGGGACATTTGGTCATTTAGTAATTTACTCAACAAATATTCACACAGCATTTGCTACGATGCAGAAACCATGGCTGGCACAGGAGCCCAAGTGATGCTGAACGAGTAAGTGAATGAACGAATGGGTGCATTCACTCGGGGGCTGGATGGAGACAACCATTTCAGCCTCACTCAGGGTGAACGCGGGGACTGAGAGATGGAGTTGCTGGGCTGTGGGAGAAAAGAGGCACCAGCTGGCTAGGAGGGGAGGGCTCTGCTGTCCAGAGGCCAGAGTTCAAATCCTCCTTCTGTCTTCTTTCACTGAGGACTATGGGCAATTCACATAACCTCTCTGGGCCTTGCTTTCCCCATCTATAAAGCAGGGCTAACAATAGTACCTGTTGTGGGGCTGCTGTGAGGATCGGATGAGATCATCCAGGTAAACCTCTTAGAAGGGAGCCTGGCATGTGGCGACTGTTCAATATATGCTCATAATCCCTGACCACCTGGCCCTTGGGGAAATCTCCCCTGTGCTAATCTTATCCCACAAGGGCCACCTTAAAATGGAACGACAAAGTTGGTTGCCTCTGTGCCTGGCACTGATGCCATGGACAGCGTGGGCAGCAGCTACAAGCAAGCACTGCTGCGGGGCACCACCATCACTGAAGATCTCAGGTTCAATAGCGAGAGGCACCATGCAACCACAGCCCTGTGAGGGAACAGCTATGTACCCCAAATTAGAGATAAAAACCCTTGAAATCCAGGGAGACAATGGTCAAAGTCACACAGCTGGAGAAGGCCCAAAGCGTATGGGACTCCGAAGCTGTGGTCTATCCCCGAGTCTCTCTGTCCTGAACCCTGCTGGTGCACCCACTTCTCTGCGACACCCACACAAACAGCATCAAATTCTCTCCCCGGCAAGGGCCTGGCCTGGCCCTGGGTACCCAAAGGCAGGTGGCAAGCTCCACAGGAGTGAGTGGTGGCCCCCCTGCTCGCCACCTGGGGCCAGGCACAGTAGGTGGTCAGCAAGCCTTGGCTGACTATGAATTTTTATAGTTTTCCTGACCCATTTTTCTCATCCTTTCCCTTGAAGGTCCAAAAAGCAGTCCAGAGGAAGAATGACTGGGGGGAGGCCCCCCCCCCCACCACCCCGTCTCACGATCGGAAATTGTTTTGTTTTGTAATTACTACTGAGCTGGGACCCAGGGCCACCAGGGGCCGTGCTGGTCAGGACAGCAGGTCACAGCCTATAAACACCAGCCTTTTCCTAGCCCCGAGCTTTCAACAGATGACATCGAAAATGACGAGCGCCAGGAAAATGTCAAGGACAGCTGGTGACCTCCCATGCAGGGTTCAGGGCCCAGCCTGTCTCCTTACAAGATGCAGAGGAGGCCTCTGCCTCCAAGGTCTGCCGGTGTCAGTGGATGAGGAGCAAGGCTAGCTTTCTCGGACGCAAGCCAACACTGCTCCCGGCAAAATCCCTCAGCAGCACCGAGGAGACACTGCCAGCTCGAGGGAGGGTGCCCTGGCATGAAGTAATTAACGACACAGGGTCTTTCCATCAGCAAAGGAGAGAGGTCTGGCAGGCCTACGCTGCTCTGTGGGATAAGGACGGGGCTGAAGGAGGAGGTAGAAGCATGAGTTCCTGTGGAGGGGCTGGCCTGGCTGGTGAGCCCAGGCCCAAAGACAGGCTCCTCACTGAGGGGGGCTGCAGGCTGACCCCAGAGGCATCATTTACACAGAATGCTGTGTGACGGGGCCCCACCCTGGAGCTGTGTGGCGTGTGGCACCAGTCAGGTGGCCAGGACAGACTGGGGCGCCCTGGAGGGAGAAGGAGGGAACCTGGAGCAAAAGGGGGAAGGAAGGTTCCTCCTACCACTACCCTCCCACCCCAGGGAGGCAGTCTTAATTTAGAACAGGAATTGCAACTCCTCTCCATGCAAGGAAATCACACCATTGAGTTTCCCGGGAAGGGCATCACACCAAGGACTGTACCTGGGTTATTTCTCTGGCATTCTTCTCGGGCTCATGCAACCTAAAAAGGAAAGAGACAAAGATAAAAATATCCTCACTATCTCCTGTGCCCATGCAACTCAATAAGAGTAACATTCAGGACCCACTTCCCATGGGTGGAGGACACAGCTGCGTATGGGGTGTCTGGACCAGGGGCTCAGTCACCCCCACTAAGAAGGAATTTTAAGCAATGCACTATTATTTTCTTTACCCACTCGATGGCAAGGATCTTTCAAATCCTTGGGGAAGGCCTGGGCAAAGGGGCACTTGCATAACATTGCTGGTGGGAGCGGCAACCGGTGGAACCCTTGACAGAAGCAGCTGGGCCAAATCGAGAAGTGGGAAGTTGTCCTCATCCTTTGACTCATAATTGCACATCTTTTTGTGTTTATTTATTTTTTTTAATTCAAAAATAGAGAAAAGCTTTCTCCACAAAAGCATTGGTCACAGGGCGGGGTGGGGAGGGCAGTTCTGATCTTCCAGCACTGCCCATTGGGACTGGTTAAGGCAATGAGGGAGACTTGTAGATAAAGATTTAAAATGTTTACGGTGAGGATTTTTTTTTAATCACAAATGATCACATTAAATTGATAAATGAAAAAGCAAGGCTGATCACTCTGTGGAATGATCTCAATTATGAAAAACGTGTGGGGAACGATGAAAGGAAACAGGGGTGCTATAAGCAGGGGTCTTTGGGTGGCATTTTTTTCTGCTTTATAGTTTCCCACATTCTTCAAATGTTCCGTATTATGCACACCCAGGTGTGATTTAAGAAAGAACAGAGACGGGCCAAGAGTCTTGGTTAATCAAAGAAGCTATTCATGCACTTGATTCTGTAATTGGAGGCCGTGGCTTGGCTCACCGTGGGTCATGGTCAAGGTGGTGAGCAAGCCAGAGAGGCCGGTTCTGCGGGAGTTGTGTAAATTCTCAAGGCGGCAACTCAGAGGATGTTAGCCTGGATAATGTCAGAGATGAGCAATAGGGCTTGGCAGCGGGGTTATTAATGGATTTGGCATGAGTACTTGGCTCAGAAAGCAGTTCTGGGGCACAACAGGCCTCACGTGGCCACAGAAACAGCCCTCCAGAAGCAGGGCCACCGTCTGGTGAGGAAGATCATGCAGATCTAGTGGCACCCCACTGGTTTCCAACCCTCCAGGGGCTCCCACTGCCTCTGGTTCAAGTCCAAATGCTGGTAAGCCCACCGGATCCAGTCCCTTCTAACACCCCCAGGCCCACCACTCACTTAGCTACCCACCAAGTATTTCCAAAGAGTTCCTTGATGCGACATATTTTATGTGTCAACAACAGCCTCAAGTGACCCCCTCAGCTACTTTTCTCTTGGTTAACCTTTGCGTATTCTTAAGGACAAGACTAAGTTGTCAACTCCGACAGGGGCTGCTACCGGGGCTGCTCCTCAATGATGATTTCCAGCCTTCTTGCATGTTTTCCTTCTGGCTTATGTGTCTGTCTGTCTGCCTGCTATGCTTCCTTTCCACATGGGTACAGGTGCTCGAGAGTGGGTAGAATGAATGCCAGTCGGCTGCCCCAGGGCTTCTGCACACCCAGTCTCCCTTGCCTCGTCATCTATTTCACTCCTCGCCTCTCAGATCCTGTTTTAAACTGTCCTTTCTCAAGAAAACCTTCACGGAACCTCCAGACTTATTTCTTAGAAGCCTGGTTCCCCTCCCTCAGTGTATACTGCCAACTGGAAACAACCATCCATTTTTCCCTGACTGTCTCTCCCCTGGTCTCTGCTGTCTTGGTGAGTGGCACCGCCACTACTGCTCCCTGTGCTTGGCTAATCTTTCTTTCTTTCTAATCCAAATTTAATCCACAGCACGCCTTGTTGACTCTGCCTCCAAAGTGTCTACCAAACCAGCCACTTCATCATCTTCACCATCCTAGATCCCTGGCTTCCTGAGGCGCTTCCTCCCTGAGGTCCCTACTTCAAGTCCTGCCCCTCTGCATGGCATTCTCCGCCTGTAAAATCTGTGAGACAGAAGTAATGGCACATCGTTTTTCTGCTCAAAACACCCTACACCTCCCCACCACACAGTGAGATTCATCTCCATAGCCTGACTGATGAGGCCCATGTCACCTGCCCCCACTGAGTGCGCCACCCTTCCATCCTCCACTCATTCACTCCAGCTGCCCTGGCCTCCCCGCCCCAGCCCCGTGTTCCATGAACAACGTCCAACTGCTCCTGCCTGGGGTCTTGGCACCAGCCATTCCCTCTGCTTTGCCCCAGATATTCCCATGGCTGGAGCCTGTCCAACTTCAGCTGCCTCCTAAATGTCACCTCCTTAGATAAGCCTTTTCAGACTGGCCGCCCCCACCCCCCTGTTCTGCTCCCTGCCTGGCTATATTTTTATTTTGTTAGCAGCTGTATCACCTCGTGTATTAACCTCCTGGATTGTTTGGTCACTGGCCTCCCAAAGGGTCAGGAGACCCATGTGGGCAGGAGCAGCCCACCTCCTTCCCCATGGCAGCCCCAACACCTCGCCAAGGGCTGGCACGGTACTAGCATTCCAGAACAACTGCAGAATGAATGAATGAGTGAGTGAATGAATGGATGGATGAATACCTCTCCCTTTACCTAGATGGGCCACGAGACGGGGTGTCTTTTTGCTCCCCTTTGTAATCCTGTAGCTGAAGGCCTAGCACTAAGCTGTGCTCAATCCAGTGAATAAATGAAAGAATCAGGGAAGCCCTAAATATTCTAAGAATAAACGCAGCGGATATCTGACAAGCGAGCAAATGGCAGACTGAATGAACCCCAGTGCCCAATTAAGGGAGCAGAGACACATTCCTCTCCGGTCTGAGCTGGGAAGATTACAGACAATGTTTTGCATGTTCGCTCTAACCCAGGGAGTCGGAAATAGCCAGTCTGTCCACCAGCCCTGCAGCCTGAAGGGCCCTTTGAGCTCAAAGCAGCGGCATCCCCCTGTGACACCCTCCCCGGGGTGCTCTGTTGTTACCTGCCGTCCTCAGGAAAGTGTCTGATCCCAGCCAGCGACTGAAGCTGCCGCTGACGGGGGGAACCACCATTACCACTCACTAGCTATTGCTCTGGTTTAGAGAGATGAAAGGGAGCAAGTGATCTCACGGCTCCCTTGGTAGGCTCACGTTGGAAAAATAGAAAACAGAAAACGCTCGCCTTCTCTGGGGAAGGAGAAATAGGCAGCGAGAGGCATCGGAGCAGCTGAAGAGCGTCAGAGGCAGCGTCAGAGAAATGTGGGGTGAAGTCACAGACAGCACTCACTAGCTAGGGCGCCCCCGGGGAAGGGGGGGTGACGACTTCCCTAAGCCTCAGTTTCCACAGCTATTCAAAGGGACAGTAATTTTGTAGAACAGGGTTCTCTAAGTCTGACTCAGAAACCGCAGCCTCAGCAGCACCTGAGAACTTGCTAAAAATACCAGTTCTTCATCAGAAACCCTGGGGGTGGGGCCCTGTAATCTGTGTTTTAATAAGTCCTCCAGGGGATTCTGTCTGCTACACATTCAAATTTGAGAACTGTTCTATTAAAATGGGACAGTAGTAAATCACAGGGTTTTTGCTATAATTAAAATCACCAGTGGGCTAATATAGGTAAAAGCATAGATCAGTTCCTGGAATATAAGTAAACGATAAATGTTAGCTGCTGAGGCTGTTGTCATTACTATTATTGACACTGCCCTTTTCTTCCAGGAACTTATTGTCTAACTGGGGAGAGTAGACAAGTAAAAATAATGACAACAATAAAAGCGAAACAAGAGAGATCGTTCTGTATTTCGGATGAAGCCACTGAGAGGGAGAGTTTTAAGGATTCAATGAAGATTAGTAATTGCTGGAGTGGCCTGGAAAGGCATTCATTCATTCCTTCACTCATTCATTCAACGAACATTTACTGAGCACCTATTCCATTTCAATTCAGCAGTTATTAGCAGTGAACGTGAGGGTAATGGTCCCTGTCCTCAAGGGAGATGGTTATAATATGGGGACAAGTGTAGAGACACCTTGAACACATCGGGGTGTCAGTGCAGGAACACCAGGAGAGGCCCTGTCCCTGGAGGAGGTGTTGTCCTTGCTGGGCCCAGGAGGAGAAGCAGGAGGTAAGGAGGTAAAAGGAGGGGTGCCCACTCTAGCCTCCATGTTGCATAGCCCCAGGGGGTGCTGCTTATCAAGCCAGCTGTGACTGTCACCTCCAGACTTATGAGACCCTGGGCGGTATATGAGCAGGGTTGGGGGCACATCTCAGGGAGAGAGGTCCATGTGAAGCGCTAGCAAGACAGTGGGGATGCAGCGGTGGGAGGGGTGCAGCATGAGCCACAGATGCGAGGGCTGAGGAGTGGCCAGCAGTGAGACAGTCCACGTCCCCAGGACTGGACCACAGGAGCTCGGGCAACTCAGTAGGGTCTATGGACTATGCTGAGGGCCACAGGAGCCATTGAGTGTTCTCAAGCAAAAGGTAGAAGCCGAGTCTTGTTAGGAAAAGTGTACTTGGTTTGGAGACTGTGCTCAGTGCAGGCACAGCAACAGAAGCAGGGAAGAGCCTCGCTCTGCTGGAGAGTTGCCTGCTGGGCAGGGGATGAGGAGGCTGGGAAGTCAGACAGGGCTCAGACCAGGAAGCCATCTGTGGAGGTCAAGGCAGAAAGCCAGGCTTTCTCCCAAGGGCGCTAGGGACTCACGCTGCCAGGAAGAAAGGAACACACGCTTCTCAAAATCCCTTGGGGGTGGAGGGTGAAGCTCTGGCAATGCAATCAGTGCCCCTGACACAGGACACGGGACCTCCAGGACCCCAACTTGAGACTATCCATGACTGTACCACTCATCAGCAAGTCCTGACAGCTCTATCTCAAATTAACTCCAGACTTTCACCATCTCTTGCCAATACCACCACCTGGGCCCGGCCAGCTGGGTCACCACAGCAGCTTCTACCCTCACCTCCTACAGCCTGAGCCCCACACAGCAGTCAGATCATTTCCCTCCTCGGGCTCCTTGAGCTCCTGGGAGTGAACCCCCAGTCCTGTCAACTACCACACGCCCTAGGCCATGGCCCCACTCCAGATCCTCGGTTCCCGCTTTGCAATTCTAAACTCACAAAACAAAAAATCAAAAGGTGCGCAAAACCCATTTGGTGGCAAAGCCTGACCCGAACCAACAAACTATTTATAGCGTCTACTTATCACCCTGAGTATGAACATTCACATGTTTCCATGCAGGTACATTCACGCGGCAGGTTAGGGGCTGCCTCTACTCTGCTGGGGGCAGAGATGGGGGACTTCCTAAAAGCTGCAAGTCGGGGTTAGCAACTGGCTACTTGGGCTTCGGCTGGGAGACGGTGGGCCTGTTCCTGGTCTTCCCCTCCGGCCCGTCCCTTCCTTCTTCCCCAGCCACACCGGCCTCCCGACACAACCCATCCAGGCCCTGCACGCCTGCTTCCTTGGCCAGGACACCCCTAGCCTTGTTCACCACTTCCTAGCTCAGGTGCCTGCTCAATCCCCTCTTAGAGGAGGCTCCGCCCCCCTGAGACAGCTGTGCCACTGGTCTCCATGCCCTCGCGTTTGATTTGTCACCGCCGGACACGATCACATTCATCTCCATCCTTACTACCTGCTTCTCTCTCTGGCATCTGAGCCCCATGGAGGCCTGGGCTGATGCTTCTTACTGCTATGTCCCCAGCACCCAGAACACAGCTGGCACATAGTAGGGACTCAGCAAGTATCACTGAAGACAGGATTCCACAAACTAATGTGATGTGCTGTCATTGCCTGAGCCTCTGACCAGGCCGTGGGCTCAAGCTGCGGGAAGGTCCTTTCTCTCTTCACCCTGGCATTGCCGGGGCCACTGTGCTGAGGGATTCCATGAAGCAAAGAGCAAAGCATACAACTTGGATCTGGGGGTGGCATGTGCAGGACACTTGGGGGTTTCTGCCACAGTGCAAATGGTACTTGGTGGGGGTCTCCCTGCCTGTGGACAGCATGAAGATATCAGCGCCTCCATGCACCAAGACAATAATCAAAAGCAGACCTGGCGCAGGGAGCATACAAAGGAAGGAAGCAGAAATGTTGACTGGCATGCGAGTGAGGGTCTGTGGTGTGGATCCGGCGCTGCAGTTTGTGGGGCTGTTAAACAACCAAATCACAATCGCAAAAGCATAGGAGCCCATAGAGGCACTTACCTTGTAGAAGAAGTGGAGCCCTTGGCTGAAACAAAAGAAGCAAAAGTCAGTTACTGAACCTAGAAATACACCTGACATAATGGTTTTGAGCAAAGGTTTGCCTTTGGGAACATTGGGAGGAATTGGTGAAATCAGATTCTCCAAACCATACGACACCCCTATGAACGCCCCAGTGGGGTGGGGCACTACCTTCCAGGGAGGAAGACCGTGAGCTGGGCCTTTCCGTTTTCCCATCTCTGGGGTTGCCAAAAAGCCAAAGGTTGCCAAAAGTCAGATCCCAAAGCAGCTTCAGATGGGGAGAGCCAGCTGCCTTCCCTCTGCCCGGTCTCATCCACTCGTCACACACCTTACCTGAGATGCCACCCAAGCCAGGCCCTAGTCAGGCCCTTCCCTGCTAGAGAACCGATTCTAGCAGGGCTTCACATCAAGGGGGTGTGGACCCCACTTCTGCTACCAACTCACTTGCTGTGTGACCCTGAGTGGGTCATTTCCCCTCTTGGAGCTGGAGCTCAGCTCTCTGACTTGCAGGGTGGGGCTGGATGTTCACTTATTTTTATGTCACCACTTTCCTAAAAAGGATCTTGGGAAGAAAGAAAGGGTCCGTCTGGTTCAGAGATTTTAAGCCTATAATATGGGGCATCCCGCAGAGAAACTGCGGGGTTCAGCCACCATTCGACTCCCACTTTGCTGTAACGTTGTAATTAAAGAGCAACATGCACACTCCAACATGCTCTGCGCTGCATTTCAACAGGCTGGAGGCTGTGTGCCACTGCACGGGCGCTGAGCTGGCAGGGACGCCCGGTGCCCGCGCAGCACTGGACTCTCAGAAGAGGCCACCACTCAGAAAGCTGCCGCTCTGCATCAAATGTCTCAGCGGAGGCCACTAAGTTGCAAAATGCTGGGACACAAGTTGTCTCAGAGCCCAGCAACAGGGACATCGATCACCCTCCGTGATTTCACGCCCAAGAGACTAGAAGATTCCTTGTGGGCACAAAGCTGGTAAGTGATAGAGTTAAAATCAGGACATGCAGTATTCAGGTAGCGGGCCGGCAGACCCCTCCAGGGACCAAGGAGGATGAAGGGGGTGTCATTAGGGTGGAGCATGTGCAGATTTGGCCCCAAATATGGTCCCAGGAGACCCCACTGCTCAGGTTTGAATCCTGACGCCACCACTTACCAGTGGTGAGACCCTGAGCGAATGCCTCAGTTCCCTCACCTGGAAAATAGGGTTAGTTATACTACCGCAGGGGCCGGGGGTGAGAACAGAGCAGGGACGTAGAAGAGCTGAGTGCTGGTTGTCACTATCGCTGGAGGCCACTGCTCAGGAGCTGGGTGGCTGTCTCCAGTGTCTGCATCCCTCCAAGCCCCATTCCTGCTCTGAGCACGGCTCACTAATTCCTAAGCCAAAGGTATGAGCTCAGGCATGCTGGAGCCGACATGGTCCCAGGATGAGCCTCTAAAGGGGGCCTGGGTCACTAATGGGTGCCACGAACGCTCCATCTGGTGGGCTGGCTTGTCACCATGGTGGTCGACGGACCCCACTTCCCCACTGCAGGAGGAGTCCTTCCTGTGTGGGGGCTCTCCAGCAACTTTAAGGAAACTGCCGGGAAGATCTGGCAGGACCCCTTCCAGCTTCCGGAGGGCAGCTTGAGGCTCGGCGAGTACTCACAGCTGAGGCCAGCCAGCCAGCCCAGGAGGGAGGGAAGCTTGGGGGCCAGAGGTGAGCAGGATGTTGACCAATGCCCACCCCAGCTCAGCCCAGAGGTCTGGGCACAGAGGGGTTTTGCTCTTTACAGCTGTGGGACACAACCAGCATTTTTAAGAGAATATAGTATAGAATATGACAAAACAAGAAAATATCAGAATTCCAGTTTCATAAACAGGGGTGTGCACACTGGGTTGAGACATAAAATGAATTTCTATCACCTGTCATGAAAAAAGTTTCAGACACACTGGCTTAAGACCATCTCTTCCGAGAACAGGAAAGAAAACGAGTGTATTTCTGAGGTCTGAGAATGTGCCAGAGCTAATTATTTCACAGGAGCTATTTGTGTTTCGTAACTACTTCTAAGGGAGGCTTGCTCTAGCACTTCACAGATGAAACTGAGGCCTGCAGAGGCCAAACTCCATGGGTTGGGAACTTGGATCATCTGACTCCAAAGTCAGAGGCCTTGTTACAGGAATAACACACACACACACACATGCACATGCACACGCACACACACACATATGCACACATGTGCACACACAAGCAAGGGGACGATGTCTTGGCTTTGAACTTGTACCCTCTTGCAGTGCAGTCCAAGGCTGCACACCTTGCTGCTATGAGAACTTTCCAGGGCGAGGACTCATAAAGAAAACGGACCACAGGAGCTAACACCTGCCGGGTGCTTGCTCTGGGCTAGGCACTTTCTTAACATTTTACGCAGAGTCACCTGTTTAATCCTCCCAACACCCTTGGCGGTAGGTGGGGCTATTCTCCCCACTCCTTTCCAGCCTCCTGCCAAGGGGCTGAAGGTGTCACCTGGACATGGTAGAGGAAGGCAGACATTTGCCAGGGGCTCTGGGAAGCAGTTTCTTCCCTGACACATATAAGAAGAGTGGCTGAGTCCCTTTTTGCCACTGACAGCTCCCTGCTCCCCACCTCAGCAGTGATCCCATGAGGATGTAAGGCCCGGAGCAATAGTGGCCACCCTGTAACCACAAGGGGCGGCTGTAGGAAGGATCCAGCTTGGCAGGTGCTGTGTCAGCTCTGGCACTGAGTTTCTAGTCACTGGAAGTAACTGGAATCCTCACGGCTTAGGCTACAGGTAGGTCAAAGCATGCTTGGGGTCGCTCCCTCTGGGAAGGACAGCCCAGAGGCAAACTCTTGAGGAAGAGGAGGGAATGCACCCACCTTTTCTCTGCCGGATCCGGAGGAGGTAGAGGGTGGCGATCAGCAGGGCCACCAGCAAGGCACACACCACGCCCACTGCGATGAAGACGGTTTTAAAGTCCTTAGGCTGGTCTGGGGACCACAGGGAAGAGAGGCTTCAGGTTGGCAAATTAAAAATGATGAAAATGAAAGCCCATAGTCTCTTCTCACCACCAGGCAGGCATCCTTAACAGAACATGTGAATGAGTGGGTCTTCTCAGATCTTTCGAGCCATGTTGGCACATTGTCACCCCACATGGGCCACCTGTGAGCAGTGAAAAGCCATGCTGAGGTGCCAGTGGAATTCTGGCTGTGGGAGGTGGGCAGAAATCTCGCTCATGAAAAACACAAGCCTGTCCCTCCTCATCTGGAGTGAACCACAGAGCAGCCACCCCAGTGGCACAACCCATTTGAAGCCCCAAATCACAACTGGGGTATCACACAGCAGCTGGTGGGGGTTAGAGGGGGCTCAGAGGTCTCAGGGGCTGTCCCCGATCTGTGCCTGGAACCTGGGTACAGGAGCTCCGGTTCCCAGACACCTGAAATGAAGACAGGCACTTGTCCTGCCCTGGGGCACAGACAGGAGGTCCCAGATGAGGGCACAGGATTCTAAGACACAGAAACAGGGTCGGAATCAATGTCCTGGGGTGTGAACTTGAACAGATCTCCCTCCAACACCAGCTTCCTCCAGTGTTACGGATATTAATAACAAATCTCTACTCATTGGATAGCCCCAAGGATTAACTCACCAACCAAGCAATCAACCAACTAATTCACTCTTTCATACTTTCTGAAAGCATTTCTTGAGTGCTATGAGGATCAGGTCCTAAAGTCAGGATCCTCCACAAGACAGTATGGTACCTAGCAGCTGGGACTCAAAGCTATGGGGTCACAAAGCTCATCTCCTTCAATACTGTCGTGAGCAAGCAGAGAGGCACTGACTAGTCCAGGTCACCCAGTGAGTCTGGGACAGACCCAGAGTGGACATCCACCTCCCCTGTGTCCCCACGCAGAGTTCACCCTATGAAAACCTCATCTGGGTGACAGCCAAGAACAGCCTAGCAGGGCCCCCAGGCTTCTTTAGAGCTCACCTGCTCCCCTAAATGATGCATGAAAGAAAGAAGTGACCTCTATTCTTATCCATTTAAAGGGCATGCTATGTTCCGGGCATAGCCATGCTAATGACAGATAATGGGACATTGAACAGTGACACTAACACTCCAAGGAAGGGCTGCCATTTTGAAGAAGTGAGATCCATGGCAACAGGTTGGAAAGTGTCAGACCTGACACCTTTCACTCCCCCAGAAGACTGGCAGCTGATCATCGCCTTAACTGGCACTCACTGGGTCTGCAAATGCTCCTTGAGAAATCCCACAGAAACAGCCACTCAGGTAACAGAATATGCACAAGATGTAGGTCACAGGGATAAGCTGCGCCGCCCCAAGTCCCTGCGCCACCCCGTATAGGGAGCTAGTTATGGCACCCTGGTTGGGGGGGTTTAAAGAGAGCAAGGCGGGGGATGGCGACATGAATGGCGGAGGTAGTCATTGTGAGGTGCAGACAGCAAGGGCAGGGCACGCAAGTGGGACACCCTCCCCCACCCTCTGCTCTACATGTGTTTATGCAGAAAGACCTATAAAGACATGTCCCAAACGCTCATCAGTGGCCACTCTTAAAATGTGGGGATTGGGGGAAGGGAGCTCACTTTAAGATTCTACTTTCTTTATGGAGTTCTAGATTATTCTACAAGCATGGATTACTACTTATAACATTAAAAAAATAAAATTAAATAATTCAGGTCAGTTGGCATGGTGGTCTCACCAGGGTTTGGCTTTGTGTCCTGCTTGTCCTTGTGAGCTGAGGCCGCCAGGGTGAGGGCTTTGGAGACCGCGGGCTGCCCGTCATGCTCCACCTGGCAGGTGAGCACCACATTCCCCCTGTGGGCAGAAGCGTTCACCAGGAGCCAGCTCGTGCAGGTGAAGGTCCCATCCTTGTTCTCCAGGAGAGTCGAGGGCTTTTCTGTTCGGGACAGGTTTCCATTCTCCAACCAGGTCAGCTGTAGGTTCCGGGGGTAGAACTCCTTCACCTGGCAGGTGACATTCACCTGGTTCCCTGCCGCGGGATACTGGGAAACCTCCAAGGTGGGCGGAACTGTAACAGCACAGGGCAGAAGCTCTGACCTTATGGCACAGATCCCAGGGGAGGGGGAGGCCTGTCACTGGCCCCCCACCGCAGCAGGGGGGTCACCCGGGACATGCTGGGCAGGCAGCGGCCTCCAACACTGAGGCTCTCTCTGCATGTGTGTGATCACTAAGCACAGTGCCCAGCACACAGTAGGTGCACAAGGACTGGAGGGCACAGGAGGGAAATCAACAGGCCCTGCCCCTGCAGGCAGCGGTGGGATCATAATCATTGTGGCAAATAAATGCCACCCCCAAGCACCTCCGGCAGGGCAGTAGGGGGTGCCCGGTGATGGGGTGGCCGTGGGGAAAGTTCGGGAAACTGCAGGACACGTGGGAGGTGCTGCCCTGGCAGCTGCCGGGGTGACTGGGGGAGTGACCCACACATGCAGGGCTGGTGATGGCCAAGGATGGTGGGACTGGACTCTGGGATATCAGCGCCTGGAGCGAGTGGGGAGGAGCAGGCTGTGTCTCGGCCAGGGCCGGGCTGGGGGGGGTTCACACCTCGGATGGTCTCAGACAAGTTGGCTGTCCCATGAAGACCGCCGCCCTGCAGGGTGACGTGGGCCACCTCGCAGATGACCTGGGAGCGGACGTCCCCCGGCGCCAGCTGCACCGTGGCTGTGCTGGAGACGTTGTAGGAACCGGCCTCTCCTGGGGGGTCCACGTTGGGCTGGGGGGCTGGCAGCTGTTTCCTATTTTTGAACCACTTCAGGCTGATGTCTCTGGGGGAGAAGCCGTGGGACTGGCAGGTGAAGGTCACCGTCTGCCCAGGGATGGCCCTCTCTGTGGGTCCCGATACCACAGGGCGAGAGGGTTTGGCTACGGAGGAGAATTTGTAACAGTAAGCGTGACTGTGACTCCCACCAAGGATAAGCGGGTGACACTGTTTATAACTTCATCTGATTATTGTTTCGTCTCTAGCAGTGCTGGGGGGTCATCACCCTCATTTAGGGACACCCAGTCTCCCAGAGGTGAACCAGGATCAGGGGATGGTGACAGGGTTGCAGGCCTGGGTTCAGAGTCCCCCTTCTCTCTCTCCAGAGGATTTCCAGAGTCTGGGGTCAGGAACAACATGACCTCAGTGTCTATAGCTGTTCCTGGCCAGCCCCCAGAACCTTTCCAAAGTCAGAGAAGCATTCACAAAGGAACGCAGGGGGACAGGGGACCCCGTGGAGGCTGGAACCAGGCAGCTACCCAGGAGAGGGGGCCAGGCACCTCCCTTCCTCATCTGTGAAGTGGGACACAGGGTCTCGCTCCTGGGTGCATGAGGGAAGCAGGCCGCGGAGGCAAGTTTCCCAAGATAAAGAAACGCAGATCAGTGATGAGCCCAGGCCTGGTCTCCCAGCTCTCCCCGCAGGCGGTGAGGGATTTACTCCAAACTTTTCATTTCAAACAATTTCTCAAGTAGGTCTCATTGGTGCCCAGCTCTGATTTTGAAAGGAGACAGAGGGGTGCTGAATTGGGTTTCTCCTCCTTGGGTTCTGTTTTGGCTTGGAGACAAAAGATCCCTGAGCCTGAGGAAGCCAAAGGTGGGCGTCTCTCAGTCATTAAATGGGAAAAGACACAGACACAGGCCTAGAAAGTGGCAGAAGCATCTCCCTCATCCTGAGAACACATAAGCAGTGAATCACTGAGGGCAGATCTCCTCTGGATCCTACAGGGAGCCTCCAAACTGTCTATTACTCCTCGCCACCTTCTGCAACAGACAAGACAGCAAATTCACAAATATTTGCCCTTGTAAACATTTAACTTGCTTCCTGAACTCAGCAAACACTGGAGGGCAGAGCAAGGAGGTGTCCGCAGAGTAAGTCATAATTAGCCAGCAGCCCAGGTGTCCCGCAGGGAGAAGCTGTGGTCAGTCACCCTTTATCCAGAGCCTCCTGGCTGACCCCCCCAGCCCTTCAGCCCTTTAATCCTCCCAGTAGCCCGAGGGAGGCCCAAGCAGGCCCCATGTGTGGATGAGGCTCAGGAGGAAGGAGGCTGGTCAAGGGCACTAGCAGGACAGACCACGTGAGTGACCACTTCACATCTCTGCTCTGCATCCTTGAGTCTCCATGTGTATTTCTGTGCAAAGTGATCAAAGCTCCACCCGGGCAGAGGAGTGAACACAGGCCATGTTCACAGCAGGTGCTGACAACCAGCTCCGAGGCTACTGTCCTAGTGCTGGTCACCACCCACCTGAGACTGTCAGGGCGGAGGGGGGCAGGTGGGTAGGCAAAGGCCCACAGGGGAAACACCCAGGAAAGAGGCAAGTCCTGCAGCTGCTCTGAAAAACCGATTGAGAAAAGGAAGAGAAACCCCAAATGATTCTCTCCGTTTTTTAAAATAATCCTCTCAGGAAACAAGTTTGGCAAATTTGCTTTCAACACACACACAAGACCACAGGTGCTTTCCTACAGGTTTCTCTTTACAGAGAGGTGGAACATTTTGAAAGGAGGGAAGACAGATTTCATCAGTGGCATTTTGCTATAACTAGGTGGGGAGGGCTCTGGAGCTACACTGAGTATTTGGGGCGGTTCCAGAGCCTCTGTAGACATGATTCTAAGACGAGAAGGTTTCCCCAGTGGAAAGTGGAATCTGAACAGGGAGTCTGGCTGTCCTTCCTCAGGGCGGCAAGTCACTCTCAGCCCAAGCAGAGCTCGGGAAGAGCGTCCAGGCCACTGCCTCGTACTTATTTTCTTGGGCCTCCCATAAGCTATCACGGGCACCTGCTACTGGGAAGCAGCACACCCTGAAGCGCTGTTAACAGGCCCCAGTAGCATGAAAACCACTTCAGTCAGGAGGAAAGAAGACAACTTTTCCTTGGTCACCTTGAGAACTTCTAATACAGGGATTCCAGGGCCTGGCTGTGATCAGCAGTCTCTGCCCGGGCTCATGTCTGACAATCAGAATTTCCAGGATGGAGTCAGGCCCAGGATCTTTTCCAGGTGATTTTATTTTCCAGGGATCCTAATGAGCAGCCAGAGTTGAAAGGCCACATCCCAGTTATACCAGAGGCCTAGAGAGGAGGAGGACCACCATGGCTGCCACTGAGGGACATTCTCTAGCCCAGGCACTGCCCGAGTGCGTCAGTGTCTCGCATCCCCTCCCTGCAGCTGCTGTGAGGTGGGAGCATCACTGACGGATGAGGACACTGAAGCCCAGGCAAGTGGATGAGCTGGAACATAAGCCCAGGCTGTCAGCTCAACCCGAGCTTGCAAGATCTGCCCCGACACTCAGTGACGCTGGCCACGGCACATCGAGGGCTTTCCAGATGTCCTTCCAACCTCTCCTACCCTAGAACAATAGCAGTGGTTACCACCACTTCACAGGTGGGAAACTGAGGACTTAGGGGAAAGTGAGACTTGCCCCAGATGACACGCTTGAGGAGGGGGCACCGTCGCCCTCAGCAGGCTCACGGCAGCCACCTAGCTTCCTGCAGCAGTTGGTGTGATGCTCCCCGTCTATGGGTGAGGAAACTGAGGTCCAGAAAACTAACCCTGAAGCATCACGATTTGGGGGGGCTACTCTGCTAGGTGAGCGGATAGGGGCCAACTCCTCCCACTCTCCATGAGTAGCCTCATCCTGCAGGTGAAAAGACAGACTGAGAGATGAAGGCCACCTCCTCACCCCACTGTGTCCAGGGGAACTTCCTGCAGCCTCCCAGCCGTCATGTCCACGAGAACATGCACCCCACTTTCATGACCCCACACTGACCACCTCTTCCCCTTTTCCTCTGAGGTTCTGACTCCAGGAAATGAGGAGTCATCTCTGGGTGCCCAGGCTGGGGTCCTGTAGCAACAAAGGCAGCCACGGGCTCCTGCCCCATGAGGGTCCAGCACCTACAGGAAATGCCTCCTCCTAGTATCAGTCCGCAGGGCCAGGGCTGGGAGTACGGTGGTGGGACTACAAGGCCCTCCCTCTCCACACCTCCATCCCCAGAGCTGCTCCCATGGGTGTTCAGTGAAGGAGCAACTAGGCTCCAACCAGGCCTCCAACCAGGCCCAGCACACCCGGGGGAAGCCTCCTGGGAGTTTGTACATATCTGAGCTGAGTCTTCAGGAGCAGCTCAGCACATGATGAGACTCTGCAGAATCCGTGTGATCTGGGGAGCAGAGCAGCTCTGCCTCCTTCCCAGGACTTTTAAAAAAATGCTCATTGTTGAAGAACAGAACGATACAAGATTTTAAGAAAGGGTCAGGCTTTCCTTCACTTTACAAGCAGTGGGGTGTGTCTGAGCGCGGGCTGTGAGTTAAGTTCATCTCAGCTCCCCTGGCAGCTCAGGTCAGGCGCCCTCTCTGAGCCTCAGAGTCCTCATCTATAAAAGGGGCACCTGGTCCCCCGCTCCCAGCTGGTGATAAGAGCAAATGCCGTCATGAGACAGCATGTGACACCCGACTGCTCCCTTCCTCTCCCCCTTCTTCCTTTCTCATCCAGGGTCTCATCTGGAGGGGCCTTGGGGCAGAGAAAGGGGCCCCATTAGGAGACAGCAGATCTGAGCACGGTGGAGCCACTCACTGGCTGTGATTGCCCCAACAAGGGACCCACCACAGGAAGTTGAGTAAACTCTGCAAAGCAGAATAAGCCACCTTCCCTGCCTGTCTGGGAAATGTGGGGAGACTCGACGGCTGCAACCATTAGGAGGGAAATGTGACAGTATCTGCACATTTGAAATGTGCATCCCCAACCTCGAAGGCACCTGCAGGGGCATCTCCCACATGAGCAGCTGAGCGCGAGGCTATCCCGCAGTCTGTTTCACAGCTTAACAGGAGCGAATGATGTCCTGCAACCCAGGCTGCGCGTAAACAGGGCCGGCTCGCTGTGTGCAGCGTCGTGCAGTGTCGAAGCAGTGGGCGACGTGCAGCTCAGGCCCTGGGGCAGGTGCTTGATTTGGGATCATGTGGCTGAAGGCTGGGAGAGGTTCTCCCTCACCTACGGGCCTCAGGGTCTGGAGATGAGTGATGTGACATTCCCATCTTTGAGAAACCAACAAAGAGGAGAAATGCTGGTCTTGGGTCCATGAGGACGGTGCTTCTACTCATGCCTTCCCTGTGCCAGCCTCTTCCAAGGACACAGTGTCCATATCTGGGCAGGAAGTAGCCTGGCCTGGAATCAGGTCTTGAATCTAGAACAATTCTCTCACTCACTGAACATGTGATCTTGGGTCTCTGACATCCCACTTGACCATGGGGGTCTGGCTGGATGGTATAAAGGTCCTTCCTGGGCTGACATTCCAGGGCCAGGACCCTCGGCCTCTGCAGAACACCTTCCCTGGGCATCTTTATCCCCTGAACAGTCAACCCCTATGTCACCCACTTGGGGAAGCTCTTCCCTGAGTGAGGGACATTCTGTGACACCCCAGCTCTGCTTGGAGTCTAGAGGGACTGTGTGAGTTAGTTCCTAAATCACAGGAGGATTTGCAGACAGACCCAGAGCAAACACCCCACCTCTGTGTGTCTCATCCAACCAGGCCCTCAGACTAAACAGTAAGTCTGTGCCTCTTACGAATTCCTTCTTGGTGTGATGTTCGGAACCAACTCCCTCTCTGTCCTGCACGGATTTCTCCTCACTGGAAGGAAGATAATGGAAACTCTCTGGAAGAACCTTTGCTTGCTTTGTTGGCTGCTGCTTCCACAGCTCCCAGAGCAGAGCCACACAGTAGGGCAGTAGGTGCTCAGTAAGTGCTGAGCAAAGGAGGACTCTCCCCATTGAGAGGGCCCCTCCCTGCAGGCAGGAGTGAGATTGGCTCCCTCGTCCGTGGAACCAAAGGGCTGGACGGGGTTGAAAGGCAAGGGCTGCGGAGCCAGGACGACCATGTGGCCTTGAGAATCAGGTCATAAAGAGCAGCACCCACAGCCACACCTGTTTCCCAGCTGCTCAAAAATGAAGGCTATTGTTAGTGACCTGCTGCCACACGCGGGCGGGGGCCCCACGGTACTCACCACTCACGGTGACCTGCGTGCCTGGTCCCGACTTCACTTCTGTGTCAGGGCTCCCTTTCTGGAACTTCACACAGTAGTAGACCCCAGTGTCTGCTTGGGTGATGTTACTGATGCGGATGGAAAAGTCCTTGTTGTCTCTGATTGTGGGATCTGAGACACTGGTCACTCGGGGGAAGGGGCCTTCGTCTTTTGTTCCTTTGAAACTGTAGGCTAACTGCCGGCCTGGACCCGACCCCCTGAACCACCTGACTGTCCCCACAGGGAGCAGGGAGGTCAGGGTGCAGCGCAGAGTGGCCGTCTCTCCGGCTGCCACCGACACGGACTTGTCAGGCTGGATCACCTGCAGCTCCTCCTCGCCGGCCGCTCCTGCAGGGAAGCAAAGTGGTTCCTTGTTCATCCTGCGGGACCCTGTGGACTTTCTCAGGGTTATCACAAGGACCCGCTGACAAGTGCTCACCTCGGGGAGGGGGGCCCTGAGCTCAGCACGTGGGGGTATCATCCCCTGGAACCCCCACAACAAGCCTGTAATCTGAGGCTGTTTCAAATGAGGAAACTGAGGCACAGGGAGGTTAAGTGAGGTGGCAGAGAGCAGGTTTAGTGCCTGAGCCTTTTCTGCATGCACCATGTCTGACTGGGCTTGCATTAAATCTGAATTTATGAGGAAAGGGTAACAGTGTTCCTCACAGAGGGCACAGCCTGGGCCAAGGCTCAGAGATGTGGGACAGCATGGTGGGGTGGGGTGGGGGCTCTATAAAGGAGGAAGCAGGTCCACAGCAGGGAAGTGACTTAGCAGCAGGAGCCCGTGGAGCAGTGGAGAGGCAGGAGGCCTTGCCTTTGAGGGGAGTGACTTACTGCTCTTTGACCTTGGTGCTCTCGGATGCAACAGGGGCTGGTGCTCCCGAGCTTAGTGACTGCCCGGCACCCGCAGGTGTGAGTGCCGCCCTCAGTGTGGGCAGGTCCCTCTAATGCCCTCGGAGCCTCAGCTTCTCACCTGACACAGTCACTATGACCCCGTCTCCATGGCGCTCAGGGAGAGCCGAGCACAAGCCTTGGCCAGGACAATGTCGACAAGTGGCTTTTACACCCTAGGTTAGCCACTGTGGTGGGTGTCAGACTCCTTACCCACCAATAGGCAGACAGCCCCTAGCCCTCTGCTCTGTTCTGGAAAAAAAAATGAGATCACACACGTACGTTTCTGTCACTGAGACATCACTCCCACAACCCTTGCTGAGCCTCACACGCCAGGCTGCGCTGGGTGCTGCGGACACTGGGGACACACACAGGGTGACCCCAGGTCAGGCTGCAAAGGCTGCCAGGCTGGAGGGCTACAGAGTCCCGGAGTCCCATGGGCAGCAGTGGGGAGGGGCCGAGGCCCCAAGTTGGAGAACATTAGGTCCCAGAGACAGGGACCCCAGGCAGAGAGATGAAAGGAAGAGGGGGGTGTGGCCAGAACAGGTGAACAGGCAGGAAAAGATGTGAGACTGCAGGTGCTCAGAGCAGGGCACAGTAGGGCCCCCGAGTTTAAGCACAGTAGGGGGTGGAGGAAAGGACAGAGCACCACGACCTTGGGGAAGTGGTGGGGTGGGGACAAGCACAGAGACAGCAGATGGAGAGGGAGACAGAGGCTGCAGTGCAGGGAAGCGGAGGAGACAGGCGTGGGCGCAGAAGCCCTGCGCACGTGCAGACGGGCCGTCCGGTTTCCACCTGGAGCAACACTGACTCGACAGGTGACCCTGACCTGTCCCGACCTAGGCGCCTTAGCCTGTGTGTCAGACAGGGCTGCAGCCGATGCCCTGAGCAGACCCTGCTCTTGCTGGGCAGGAGAGACTGAATTTGCCCACCAACCCGGGGCCTGGCATCACCGCAGGGGGCAGGACACCTAAGGGGAAGGAGACCCATGGACTCCAGGCTGTCTTCACAGGGGCAAGTCCAGGGCCTCAGCACAGGCCTCTTAACCTCCTGCCCTCATTCCAGTCAGTTCCCAGGCCAGGCCCACTCTGGTCCTCCGCAGACGGGAGGAGCCGCGGAGGGACAGCCTGAGGTTGGCCAGCCCACCCGGCGCAGAGGAAGAAACCAGAGTCCATGGAGGTCATGGAGGCTGGTGGCAGGCACGTGGGGGAGGCGGAAGGCCTGCTGGAAACATTCCCAGTGGGTGTGCATTCCAGCAGGGAGACTGGACAAACCGGAAATGCCACCTGGAGGAAGCACCAAGCACAGGGACAGGGGCACAGGTTGCCCTTTAACCAACCCAGCTCCCACCTCTCTGAGCCTCCATTCCAGCACACAGAGTTGGGTACAGGCATCCACCCCCGCCCTGAACAGTCCTAAGGCCTTCAACACAGGTGGGCAGTGAGTGCCTGCCTTAGAGGTGCTGGCGAAATTTTAGTTTCTGTTCCATTAATACAGATACTTTATTTCCATCCTTGATCTCTGAACTGCCATGTCCCCCCACTCCCTGCCACCAGGACATAACACCCATCAAGAACTGTTTCCAGCCCCCTGCCTACAACAGTGTCTGTTGGGCCCTCAATAAATACACACTGAATGATCACATTAATGAAGGAAGGAAGGAAGGAGGGTGTTACTTGCTCCGGGGCAAATGCTCTCTCTGAGCCTCCTTCCTCATCTGTGACAGGGAGATGCTACAGGCCTGGAGCCTGCCACTGTGCCTGGCCCATGGGCGCGTAATAAATGGCAGTTATTATTATCCTTTTCAATAACACCGCACAGGGCTGTGAGTCAGCAGCCCGTGGGGGAGCCGTGTGAGGAGAGGGGGCTGTGGAGTCGGGCGTGCGGCGTGTTGCAGCAGGGCTATTCCTGTGTGCCGCTGGAGGCCGGCAGTCACACCCGGGCAGGCGATAGGAAAATCTGGAGTGGTGTAGGGCCGCGCCCCCCCCCCCTTTTTTTTTAGCTCCTCTTGAGTTCTCTCCACCAACTGCAGCCAGATTTAGGCAGCTTAATTAATTAGCTAGTGTTTATAAAGCGTTTGAAGAATTTTAAAAGTGCGACGTATGTGCCAAATATTATTTTAATCTGTGTATGTGTTTTTTTCCAGCAGAGTTTTTCCCTTCTTCCTTGCTTTTCTTTCTCTCGGCAGGTTCTGTCTGGGAACCAGGCTTGTTAAAACTCACTCCTGTGGTTCTGGGCCTGGGGTCACCACGTTGGCAGGGCTGACAAAGCCATTTCTGGCTCGCGTCTGCCCTCCTGGCACAGAGAGCAGCTGTCCAGGGGCCTGCAGCAAGTCTGGGAGGGGCTGGCGCTGGGCAGGCGTTCTCACGCACTGCTGGTGGGAGTGGAAATTGGAACAGCCCTCCGGGAAAGCAGTTGGGCAGGAAGCGCCAAGGTGTGAAAGCTGCTCACAGCCTTTGCCGGGCTCTTACACAAGGATATAACCCCACATATGGGATGGGGTCCCCGCATCCTAATCTTGAAAAAGTTGGCGAACACAACGGCCAATGGAAAGGAAAGGTGAAGTGAATTCCAGTCTAGCCCCTACATGGATCCAGGCAGCCAAAAAAGCCATTGCCCTGAAAACTAGTAATTTGGAAATTTTTACATGGCATAATTTCAAATGATATTATGATTATGCAAATAAAACCTGTTCATTGCAAAGCATTTAGAGAAAACAAGAAAGTATAAAAACAAAATAATTATTTCATAGAATACCATCAAAGATAATGGTGATTAACATTTTGATGCTTAAAATATGAGTGAATAAAAACAATGCAAAATCATACTCGGATACTAAGGAAATGTACAAACATATTATAAAAATAAAAAATCAGAAATACCCTAATGTCCAAGGGGAGGAGACGATATGATTCTATAATGGTGAACCCCCAGGACACCAACTCTACAGCCAGCAAAATGACAATGTAGAGTTATAATTACTGATACAGAATGAATTTGAGATCAGTCAGTTACTGAGTACAGACTCACTGTGATTCCAAACTTCAAGTTTTTGAAAAAAAAAGTATGTGTGATATTAAAGATTAGCAATGATTAATGGTAAGTCATAGATTTACAAGGGATTTTGCTTTTATGTTTTCTGTTTGTATTACTTGAGCAATAAAGAAGAAGGAAAAACTGTGATTTCAGTATGATGATGACTTTGTAAAATAAAATGAAACTATATATAAATAAACACTGCAAGGGACTCTACAAAGCTATAAAATGCAGCTATCTTTGGGTCATGAATCTAAAATAGATGAGTTTTTCTCTTTCTCCCCCCTCCTTCTATTTTGGATAATTTTCAGTTTCTAAACTGGATGGATATTAAAGACGAGCCACAGTATTCCCATTTTGTAATAACAGAAACCAACACACATAATATATGTGCATGTTACATATGTGTTCATTGTTTAAATGAGCCCTCCACCTCCAGGAATTTTGTCTGGTTTGTTCACGGCTATTTTCCCAGCTCCCGATACAGAGTTTAGCAGAGTAGCTGCTTAGTAAATATTTGCTGGTTGACCAATCGAACGTCTAGAGAAAAGGTTTACAGTGATAAACACCATGATGTTGAGGGATCTTCTGTCTGGCAAATGGGAGCAAGGATGGGAGCGGACACATTTTCTTTTTACTTTACAGTAAACAATACCTTGAAATTGTTTTATGTTTGTTTGGTTTTTGTTTTTTTTTTTGTTTTTTTTGAGGTGGGGGTTATAAACATTTAATGCTTTTGGAATAAAATTAATGACATAACACCTGTAAGTTTTCTCCTGGGAGACTTCAACACAGTGGGTGGTCACTGGGCCTTGTGTTTGCTGGAGGAGGGAGCTGGAGGCCACAGGACGCAGGAAGCCGGCGCAGGGGCGGTGATGGATACTGGAGTCACCGCGCGCCAGCCCTGTGCTGAGGGCTGCGAGCGGCTGGTCTCTGGCCCCCGGAGTTTGCACATGAGCAGGGGAGACAGATTTTACAGAAATCGCTCAGATGACGATGTTTGGCATGAACCCTCCACTGAGTGACTCTGCTGGCCTCTCTGACCCATGTCCTGCCCTCTCCCTGTGACTGGCCGCGCCACCGCCCCAGTCTTGTCTGTCAAGGAGGAATGAGGCGTGGGAGAAGCAGTCGAAGGGGGCTGAGAACTGACCAGTTGGCTTTGGGGCGGCGGGGGCAGGGGTATGTATATATTAGATATATTAGCAGCATTCATTCATGTGTAGCTTTTGAGATTAAGAAAAGATGAAAACACTTTTCATCAGAAGTGCAAAAATAAGCATGGATGCTTTTCTAATGGAAAAAACAAATCAATTTAGAATGAAAACTTGGCGGGGGGTGGGGTGGGGGAGAAACGGGTCCACCGTGATCCCTGGGTGCCATTCCTCCAGAGCCAGCCTTTCCCCTCTCTCCCAGGAGCCAGC